AAATCTGAGATGGATTCTGTATATTAAGCAATATGAGATGAATAATTGTGGAGAAAAATAAGTACAATGAATTTCAATAAAATACTGCCTTGCAAGAGCTGTAAAATTCTGTATTTATGACAATAGTATACAAAATATTTCCCAGAAACAATATAATGTGTTTTTAAGGGTGTGAATATCCACTCTCCTAATCTTAGATTTAAAGGCCATTTTAGCTTCGTTCAGTAAATCTCCCAGGCAAGCTCTGATCCTATAAGTCTGCTCCGCACCTCTTTCAAGAGCAGTAATACTGCTACCTCTGATCTGTTTACCTAGCTTAAGGTTAACCCAGGAAGCACTGAATGTTGAAATTAAAATGATAGTTCCCACAAAAGTCTATTCACATAATTTGGAAACCATATGATTATTTTTTTCTTGAATGGAACAAAAAAGGGACATTTTGCAGAATAAGCTTCTCTTTTTCACACAAGAAAGACATGAAAAAATTCAAACTCCAAGAATAGTCCATACAACTAAAAATGTGCTTCTAAAGTCATACTGTCGGTGAGGAACAGCATTAGGTTCTAATGCAAATACGAATTTGTTGTATGATATTCGATGCCTAAGTAAACAGTGAGTTTTGCAAATGTAACTTCACTTCAACATCTGCAGAAGAGATAGTTCACCCAAAAGTAACATTTCTGTCATAATTTACTCACCTTCATTTATATTCCAAACCTGTATGACATTCTTCTTCTGTGGAACACAATAGAAGTTCTTTTGAAAAATGTCTCATGTTTTCTTTTGCCCATACAATGAAAGTCAGTGGGGTCCAATGTTAGAACCCCAACATTCTTCAAAATATCTTTATTTTCTGCAGAAGAAAGTCAGTCATACAGGTATGGAATGACATTAGGTGAGTTCATATCTTTTTGGGTGAACTATCCCTGTAGAAGGACTCAAAAGGACTTTTTGAGAACAAAAGCACCTCCATCTGACATTAACTGTTTTCTGATGCAAGATCCCTCCTCATCATGTACTTGGTCTGATTGGAAAAGCAACGGTTTATAAGTTGATGAAAGAAGGTCTGGCATTTAGCATGGTAAACACATTCATCACCAGAGACAGATAATTATCTCTTTAATTCCACGAGGCCTAGCTCTTGTTGTCACAGACGCTGGAGCGCAAATAGAGGAGAATGAGGTTGGTCTTGAAAGAGGCAGCAACGCTTGTTGCCTTCTGTTTGCTAAAATAACCTTGTTCGCTGGGGTGTCATTGTAACTCTCTGATGTGAGAGGAAGAAAAAATAAATAAGGGGTGGAGCCCAGAAAGAGGTGCAGATGAACGAGAGCACCCATGAGAAACGACAGCCTGTCTTCTCTCCCTTCTCCAACTCTCTATCTTTCTCTTTATCTGTTGCTCTCTCTCCATTCGTCCTCTAACTCCTTCATGTTTTTCTCCCCACCCAATGTTTTTACACAAACTAACAGCCATACTTTAAACACCATTTCCAGTTACATAATTTGATTACATGCTGTTCCTGACAAACATTAAAAAGAATAATGAAATGGCACCTCAACACAAAGTAACAGGTCAGAAGCTTAATTGAATGAAGGTGGGTTTCTTTTTCCGACGGATTGCAGAAATTATGATTATCTTCAATGGCTTCTTTTCTGTCTAATGAATGTGGAAACTAGGCCCCATCATGGCCCTTCTAAAAATGGTATAATCCTGCAATGAGAAAATACCTGTATTTTCTATTCTGTCTCTCTTTTCCTTCTCTCTTTTTCTTCTCTCAGAAGCCAGTGATGGTACGTGAGCCCTTTCTGCTTGAGCAATTTTTTTGACATATTCAAAATCTGAGGCTGTTAACGGTATGTGAGAAGCAGTCAGTGTTTCCATAATGCCTTGACAGCATGGAACTGATCTCGACACACTTGATGCACATGTGAGAGTGACTGATTAGGAAATGGTTTTATTTGTGAATGGCAATGACTAATAGGGATAGTTCACCCCCCCCAAAAAAAGAAAATTTTGTGATTTACTCACCCTCATCTTGGTCCAAATCTGTATCTGTATTCCTTTTTTTGTGATGATATTAAGAAAATCTGTTGCCCATACATTGAAAGTCAATGGTGTCCAGTGTTGTTTTGCAACATTCAGTTTAATGACCTGTGGATGAGCAAATGCTGTATCTCTTTAAAGCTAAACTAGTCAAACTTGTCTGTTTTCTCACTTGGCACTAGTGGATTATATTTCACCCAAAATGTACATTTTATAGCTTTTCTTTTCTTCCAGAGTGACATAGTGTGCAAAGCGAGGGCTCAATTAACTGAATAGCAGTTTTCAGTGAGTCAGTGCTGCTGATCAATAAACAAGACATGTGTGTAATGAGCTGGCCACTATGCGACACTCACAGACCCCATCCAATGCATGCTGGGATAGCTAAATTTATTAGGGCAGAATAGAATGGATGAGTGATCATCCCTGCATCAGTAAAGGTGTTTCATGAGGTTCAGCCTTGAGAATGTCCCGGTTAATGTCAAGGCTAAGTTAAGACACAGATTAGATGATTACAACCTCCAGCTTCATTACAGATACCACTGGGATGAAAAACAATGTTTATTCTGTTCAAAAAACGCCCACACTTTCACTTAAAGACTTATACTTTGAGCATCCTGAACAGAGCTTATCTGGGACCAAGCAGATATGTGCCATCGTGTGTGTGTGTGTGTGTGTGTGTGTAAGGCAATGTTTGAGGTCATGCTAAGATCAATTGAAGCTTTTTTTATATTATCTGCCCATAAAAAAACGAAACCACCTGTGCAGTCAGCCGCATCCATGTATTCTGGTCTGCTTTTCACCCCAGGCTGTGCCACTAGGACTCCAGGATGCGATCTGTAGCGAGAGAGGTTAAGGTTTGGGTTAGTTTTGTTGCTTTAGTTAATCTCATTGTTGACCTCATGTAAGAAATTATTGATCAAAATGTTTGTTTTCTGCACCAATTTTCCACTGCTGAATGCATGCAGCCTGAATTGAATGTGATGAGATAAAAAATAAAGTGCAATGTGAAATAATGTCAAGAAAAAACCTCTGTGTTGAGTTCTCATGTAGTCCGATTGAAAAACAAATTGCTCCTATTAACCAATTCACAAGAAAATCGCTAGGTTCTTTTAAAGAATCGATCAAAAAGATGAATCATTGTTTTAAAGATAGACTGGCTTGAATCAGTCTGACAAATGTTTCACTAAATGACCTTACTGAATAAATCAGAGGTGCGTTTCCAAAAAGTAACTGGTTGCAAGTTTCATTGTTACCAATAGAGTTCAATGGAACTTGCAACCGTAGTTAGCTAACAATGCTTTTGTTTTGGGAAACGCACCCCAGAATGATTACTGAATCTGACTCACTTACTGAACAGCAAATTAACATTATTCAAGTGATATGAAATGTTTATGAAACAGGTTTGTGAAATTTGAATGAATATTAATAATTACTGGGTGATCATAACAATGTACGGTATTGTATGTTTTAGTATACATAACAGCAATGTTCTATAGGAAACAATGCACAAAGTAAGTTTTAAGAGAAGAAAAATGTAAAGAATTAAAATAATCCAAGCATTGAATGGTTGTGATCGCCCTGCTTGAGCTGCAAGAGCTGAACATGGTTAAATGAACCACTTTGCTAACGGGTATTTTAGCTCATTCAAAATTATTTCAGTGGACTAAAATTATATGCCATTTCAGTCGAAGTAAAATGGACTAAAATAGGTGAATATAGCATGACAAAATATTGACTTCTTTCATCAAAAGACAAAAAGTATAACTAAAACAAAATAGGGTGCAAAAATTAACACTGAATCTTTTCACGAAACTGCATTCAGTGCTGTGGTTGAAATACACACATACTCACACATCTGTTGTTTCATTCTTTTTCTAAAGAATGCACACTCTCATAGACACACACATCGATCTCACCCACACGCATTCATAACAGCATTATCCAGTATCTTTGTGGAAACTCCTAATCTCCAACAATACCCTGCTATATACGCCGATAGCGACTGCTGTATTTATTAATAATACTGAGAGGAAGGAGCGTACTAAGATTGCTGAACAGTTTCATTACACATATTAAAGTAGTAATGATTATTTTAAATATCACATCATTTCATGTGAATGAAGCGTCCCATTTTTCTTCATCCATTTCCAGAATCCACCAGTATTTAGGCATATTTAGAACTTTTATGACTCAGTGTACTTTTTTTCCCCTGTCTGGGTTCGTCTGATTTCTTAGCATGTTGAATATAAGGAACAAAGCTAATGCCTTTAGATAAGGATGATTAACCTAAAATAAAATATGCATTGTATCTTTCTGTATGGTATATGGCTTTCAGGGTGAGCCTGGTGCCAGGACGCTCACTTTGTAAAGTGACTAATGGCAGATGGAAAAGTTGCGATTACATAAGAATAGTCTCCAAGATGTCTGTCTACTGCTCTTGCACGTGACCTCACATATTTCTTATCTTTAAGTGCTGTAAAACTACACGAGACACTGAATTGTCAGGGAAAAGAATGACAATCAGGCCCGTCTGAGAGATGATACAGCCGCTTTTAGCCTAATGATTCGCAGAGGGCTGAGGCTATTGATCATTTTGGCATGAAGCAAATGCACTGAAAATAATGAATGACAACAGGTGTTCATATTTTTGTAATTGATTGCCCCATAATTGGACAAGTTATTGAGCTCACTGATGAAATACAAGATTGAGGGTGACATTTTTGCAGAAAGTGACTGCTTCACAGGGAACAAAGAGTTATTTTTGAATGTGAAGCACAGGTGCAGCACTTCTCGATCGATATAGCCCAGCATGGTAATTTCTAAGTACCAAAGTCAGTTGTGTCGGTGTCTACACACTTTAAGTTATTATGCTCACTCTTATCTGGTCAATGGAAAATTGCTGTTGTTTTCCTATCTGGCTAATACAACCTTTTTTTCTGTCTTCTCTAATCCTGCAGATCTCTGTGAGGGCGTCTGGCATCATGGACAGCAAACTAGATCATTGAGCCGAAGTTCCCTCTCATCCTGAGCTGTCGGTTCAGACGGTTCTGCAAACATCTGAGAATATCAGCTAGTTTACAAAACGAGGCTGTTGATCTTACATTAACAAGAAAAGGTGCCCAATAAGAGATATCTTCAGCCTCACACTTTTCTGCACACTGTTCTGCCGTTTACAGCCATGATATCAAAATTCTTCCGGAATTGTTTATCGCTGGTCCTACTTTTCCCTCTTCAACTGTTGTGGCTGGACATGCTCAACGCTGCCCCCTCTGGTCCGGAGTCTGATATCTGCTCCACACTGGTCCAGAGCCGCTTCTTTGGATTCTTCCTCTCGTCCTCTGTATTTCCTAGCACACCCTGCTCCTGGACCCTGCAGAACCCCGACCCACGGCGCTACACCATCTTCATCAAGGTCACAAAACCAACCAGAGACTGCATTTCCAGACAGCACCGGACCTTCCAGTTTGACTCCTTCTTGGAGACGACACGAACCTTTCTCGGGATGGAGAGCTTCGACGAGGTGGTGAAGCTGTGTGATGCCTCTACCCACGTTGCCTTCCTGGAAGCTGGAAAACAATTCCTGCAGATCCGGAAAGGGCTGCCCAGAGCGGGTGCCGGGTCCAGGAATGGTGATGGGGAATTTAAGGTGGAGTATCTCGTGGTTGGGAAGCGTAACCCCAGCATGGCTGCCTGTCAAATGCTGTGCCAATGGTTGGAGGACTGCCTGACCTACAGTACCTCCAGCCGGCCCTGTGGCATCATGCAGACACCATGCCAATGTTGGGACCAGTCCCCGCCGGACAAAGACACCAATGGATGCTACTTGGAGAACTGCATCCCTGTTGTGAAAAAAGGAACAGCTGACACTAGCGGTAAGCTAACAGTTTTTGTCAAGTTATAATTCAGCATGGTTGAATGGTTATTGAATTAAAAACTGTTGTTCTCTGTTCCCACTGTGGGTTTGGTAGCTTGATGTATTTAGTAGCAAAGCAACAGAAAAATCAAAGCTGAAGAAACAAGAGTTCAGAGAGAACTGAAGGAGGTTAAAAAAGAGAAGGTTTTAGGTTTCAGCTGATGTGTCCTAGCTGGGTGACCTTGGTTTCTTGGCGCCATGTGCGATCCTGTGAGGGTTCAGATAGGGATATTGAATCGGCCCGTGGGAGAGTTGATGCGGCAGACATGCTCTGGGAGTGACACGGGATAGTGGTGGTGATGTGCTTGGAGATTGATTATTAGGAAGGGAATGGGCTCGGTTACTGAGTGTGATGTGATCTATTCTCAATAAGTTGGTGTGGCACAGAAACTCAACCCCTAGGAGAGGCTGAAGCCATTGGACTGGAAGATCACTCACCCCATTGCACTGCGACCTTTCTGTGGACTTTCTCTTTCTTCTTCTCTTTTATGTCTTACTTTTTTCTGCTTGTTAAAAAACACAAGGGGGTGACGGATCTCCACAACTCACAGTGTTCAAAACTATCTGTAAAAGAACACTAAAGGTGTGTAATTAATAGTATGTGTGATCCTTCTTACTAGAAATTAATTCAAATTTTTAGTTGCCTCACCACATATTTCTGAAGGATCATGTGACACTGAAGACTGAAGTAATGGCTCTTGAAAATTCAGCTTTGCCATCACAAGAATAAATGACATTTTAAAATGTATTATAACAGAAAATACTTATATTTAAACTGTAACAATATTTAACAATATTACTGTTTTCACTGTGTTCTTCATAAAGTAAATGCAGCCTAGTGAGCATAAGAGACTTTTTTCAAAAACCAATAAATTTATTTATGTATATATATATATATTTGCCATAACAATCTAGTTGTTTGGAATTCTTATGAACCCCAAACTTTTTGAATGGTAGTGTATATATTTGCTAGAAATTCTTATATTTCTCATTAAATTAGGTGTTAAAATTATACAGTTATAATGTCACTCCATACATTCATAAATCACACTTAAATCAAAAGTATGGCATCAGATGGAAAACATTAGAGATTGGTTTGTGGTTTTCAACAAAACATTCTTACTTATGCTTCCAAGATTATCGCAAATTATTTTTGCAATTTCAACAAAACTTCATCTGTGTTAGCCAGCTTGAAAACATTATCTTGGAGACAAATCACAATTTGCAATGTAGACAATGTAGAATACATAACAGAAAACCAAACATTTAAGATTGCAAGGCATAAAAATTGGAGGAACAAGATCAATTAATATAAAAAGTTCAGCAGCCCGTGGCCCATCCTCAATCCTGATGCATCACAACAATCAAAGACGTCCGTCTAATGTATGTATACACAGCAAGAACTTATCCTATGTGAATGGCCCCTAAGACAAGCAAGGCAGCTAGAATAGATGTACGGAGGGTGCGGATAAAGAGAGAACATCTCATAAATTGATCGTGAGCTTGGGAGGCAAGCCAGGAATGTCTGGCTGGGCCCATCGGATGGAGCCAAAGCAGAAAGGCAAATGAAAGATGACTTTTGAAAGACAGGCTGTGCATCATTACAATGCTACTCTCCGAGACCTATCGCTCTGCGGACATCCCTAGCTCAGTCTTAATGGCATGCTGTCCATTTTATGTGTGGCCAATTTGGAGATGTGCCTCCTCCCACATCTCCTGTAGGTGGAAATAGCCCACCTCCCTCCGATTCCTAAGAGGGAAAGTGGAGAGTTAAATAGAGGGACACATGAGGGAGGGAGAGTGCATTCCATCTTAAAATGCTAAAGGCGTGTCTATTGTGTGAATGTGACCCATTGCTCAGAGGCAAGGCATCATGGGAGATGAGTAGATTCATCTCTGGCAGCTCAGAGCAGTGACAGATTACGGGCTGGATTTGAGAGACAGAATGGAAGAGGAGTCGAGTGAGAAAAAGATGGGAGAGAATTTCAGGTGTGAGGTGATGACAGTAGAAAATACTGTCCTCATGACTTGCACTTTCTTGCCATTCAGGACCAATGTGTCTCAGAGAGCTTTGGTTAAGCTAGATGAAAGCACGTACTTGTTACTTCTCAGCGAGGCACTTTGAATTGAGAGCGGAGTCGATAATAGCTTGGCTGTGATGTTGCTAAACTAAGGAATTTAAATTGACTGCCCCCATAGTCCTCAGTTCTTCATCTTTAGGCGCAATAACAAGATTTAACTTATCACTGTTTTGTTGTAGTCGTGTCTCTTTTCTCTGTTTCTCACACACACTTACGCCAGTGAGCCGTTTCATGCTGAGCCGTTTCATTGTGGATGGCTGAAAATGGTTGTGCGGGCAGCACTCTGTCACTGCGTGTGGGGGTGTGTGTGTTATGAACATGTTTGGTCACCAGGGGCACACAAGTTTTTAGCGTACAGCTTATAAAACTGCTCCCACTGCTCTGAGAAGGATAAGCACAGTACTTATCTCTGCTGGACGGATGGTCTGTGTCTGTATCTTTTTCTCTCTCTCACTCTCGTTCTCCTACCGTTGCAAATGCTAGCTCATGGCCCCTTCACAGCTCTCCAGAGCTCATAAAATATTCATGTTTTAATTAAGCAATTTTACTGCCTCCATGCTTGATAATAAAAAATGCCCCAGGTTGGGTGTGCATTAGGGTGTGTATATGTGTTTTCAGAACGTATGTTAGCTGTGAGACTGTACTAGTCCATCGTAAACACACACAGGGGATGGGGCTGGGGCTGGGGGGGGAATTTGTCAGACATCTGTCTTGCTGTAGGGGTTCATCACTATTTCATGCACACTTTCAATGAGGGATTTTTGATGGTGTTTGTTCCAAGAGGGTGTTATATTGTTGTTCATAAGAATATCAGTGGTCCATTGTTTACTTTACTTAAGCTGTTTCAGTTTTACCATCTCTATTTACAATGATACCACCACATGTTTGTCACGATGATGCTACATAGCTCTAAATCTGCAGAATTCCCCAGAGAGGTGCTTCATGCAATTAAAAAAAAATACTGTATTACAATAATGAGATTAAGAATCATAATGTAAATATTGGAAATGCCAGTAAGTAAAATGCCCAGGCCTAATTGTCAAGAAAGTAATTTAATAAATAAATAAACCTTCACCACCAAAAATGGTGTTTCTTTATTTACTCATTTACATTTGTTGGTTTACATTTGGAACTTCTAGCTTGATTCTGTTTTTTTTTTGTGTGCATCATAACATTCAACTGGGGGACTGAAGCTTTCAAACTTCAAAAAGGATGTAAAAGCATTGTGAAATTAGTTTATATGACTCACGTGCTACTGTACATTTCAAGTCTTCTGTAACCATTCAACAACTTGAAATCTTTGGAGTGCTCATGATATCCGATTTGTGAATGAGTCGTTCATTGAGTCAAATTTTTTTCAATGATTCATCTGGTCCGGTTCACAACACCGGTCATAATAAAGATTTGTTTTTTGAGTTCAACTCATTAAAGCCATCCAACACAGTCTGCTTTAGTGTTTCACGGAACAACCATAGGGGTCTGTAATAACATGAGGGTAAGTAAATGATGGCAGAATTGTAATTTTATAAGCTTCGTTATTATACAAAGTATGCTATTTATAAAACGTATTTCATTTGATAGTATTGCAACTTGGGTATGTTTTGGTGAGTTGATACGTGCATGAGCATTGCTCAAGGTGACCATTCGCAGCTTAAGTAAAATGATTTCAGCGGCCTAATGTTGTTTGTCTGGAACTGCTTAGAATTTGAGTGGGACTTGTCTGGTAATGACTGGTATTGTAACTCATCTGCTGTAACTGTTAGATGAGTGTCAGGGTTGCACTACTGTGAGGAGCGAGGAGACGAGGAGTAAACTCAAACAAAGGTCTTTAATCACGATAATCCAAGGGGTAACACAGGGCAGGCTGGAGTCACACGTAACACATGGACACGTTCAAGACTCGACAACCAAGCATGGGGCAGACTACATTTTAAATACATAACATAACAAGGTAATTAACGAGACACAGGTGGATCAGATAACACAATCAGACAAGGGAAAAACTAGGTCACTGGGAGCAAAAACACACTCAGACAGTCCAGGGGCGTGACAATGAGGACTGATTTTTTATATATTTAGGGGCTAATTTTGTTCTCTCTTAGAACACTTTTTGTCCAGAAATGCCTGCGTTAAAATCCTTACAAATGATTGGCCCCTTAATTGACAGATCCTCGGAAATGATTGGTTGTACCCATGGCCGGACTTACCATTGGGCTTGAGTGGGCTGCAGCCCATGGGCCCCGCCTTGTAGGGGGCCCCGCCTTTGCCCGTTTACGTTTGTTTGATTTGTTCGTTATATGCCAGTCAGAATTCAGAAATTATTAGCCGTATTTCCACTGCACAAGATCTAAACGGGCCAGCCGGGGGCTACAGCTTACAACTACGACCTTTGAGGCCACAGTCAAACAGCATAAACTGGTATTTATGATTATTTCACATAGAAGAAGGACGCACGTAATGAATCGCGTCTGTACTGATTGGTTTGTTATCACATGGCTACTTTAAACACTCCATTAAGCCTTAGCCCCAAAGAGCGCACATTTAGAAAGATAATGATAAATTCTCAAATGTTCACACCTCGTTTCTTTACAGAGGATGATACTACATTACTATATTAATGTTCCACTAAATTATGCAATCATCTGATGAGTTTTGAGCGCTCTCTCTCGTCTTACTGCCATTACAGATAGTGAGAAAGAAATGTAATCAAAATTATAAAAAAACAAAAAAAACAATTTAATGAGTTTCTGTTTTTATAACATAGCTATGTCTATGATATAGGACTTAGCCTATCACACAAACAAGAGTCCTGATTATTAATTTTTTTTCGAATATCTGCACGATCGCAAATGTACAATAAACAACAACTTACAGAGTA